TTAGTTCCATATATAAATACCCTCAGTTAATGAGAAGAAAAATATCTCCGTTTTGCAGATCTGCACTCTCTGCTTCGTCATTTTCTTCCACTCAATAGCTCGACTCACACACTAGATCTGTCTCAGTGTTTACTGATCTAGTTGTTTTCTTCATCAACTATGTACTTTGATAAATTTTAGACTATAATAGATCTTATAAGAATTAAGAGAGCCTAATGTAGATCAAAGTGGCCTCCCTCATCTTTATATCACTTCCTCTTCTGTGGCAATCTCCCACCTAGTAAGTTCCTAGTTGTAGAGAGGAATTCTTTTTATATAGTTCTAGTGGGAGAAATCCCAGACATTCATAATCACTGAGAATGGGGTTAATTAAACAGAGGTTCTTCTTTTTACTTTTTCAACCAAGAAATCAGTTGGTTTTTAAATTGTTGTCTGAGTTCTTTGGATTAGAGACTGGAAGTCTTTGAGTAGGGTCAGATCGCACCATCTTCATCAGATTGAGCATGAACAAGAGATGAAAGTTCCTGGAGCTTTTTTACTCTTAGCAACTCCCATGTTTGAAGTAAGATGTTGGTTGTCTAATTAAATCATGATTACAAATGTCTGGAAAAACTTTGTTGCTATTTTGTAAGGCAATCCACAAGGATGTAATGAAAGTGAAGACCCAATGACAATGATAAAATGCAGCATGAATCTTGCTAAAGGAAGGTCAAATGTGCTGGCAGACCCTTGTTGGTCAGGAGATGAGGCAGATGTTCAACCAAAAGAGACACTGTCAGTGCCTAGGGAGAGAGAGCTGATGCAGATTGTTTGAGCATACCTTGGGGGTCCTGGTGGCCCCTTGCTCTCTGGTTGACTAGAAAGGTGGTGAGAAAGGGTATGTTTATCTTAGGTAGTGATCTAAAGGTTAAATAGAAGTATGAGTAAATAAATGAGACAATCTGAGGGGACAAGGACTGCTACCAAGTTATTGTTTCTAGACTAGGCCACCAAAATATTGGCTCTTATTGGGTGTATATATGTGATGTGAGAATTGGAATAAATTTAAAAGGAAGTTTGGGTCTTTAATAGACAACTTAAGATTTCAGTTCGACCATATTCATTGAGCTTGAAGATGAGGCTTATATAAGCTCTACACCAAACTTTTTATGCTTCTGTGATGTTGGAATTCTATTCTCATATCTTGCTATTAGAACATGGAAATCTGCCACAATTTCAGAGCCCCCACATCTATGCATGCATGCTGTCACCAAGTTTGCTACACAAGCTAGCACCCGGAAGAGATAGCTTTTGACATGTTATTCTCCTAAGACTCAAATCATTTTCCTTATTCCTGTAGCTAGAGCCTCGCTGAATATTGTTCTTTTACACATTTGATTGTGCCTGCAGTGATTAATTAATCGCAGCTTAAGTGCCAACATGAAGTTGATAAGCTTGGTTGTTAATGAATTTTCCCACTAATAGACTCTTCAACCATGCTTAGCTGGTATCTGTTGTGATCACAAGTAACTTTCTCACATCTTGCTTTTATTGGAGATGCGTAAGTTCTTCAGTTTTCATGCAGTCTGAACTTCTGTTTTTTTTATTTCTGTTGTTAATTGTAATAATAATGACAGAGTGGAAGGAGAAGGAAGGAGTGAAGGAAGTAGCCCAGCAGCAGTGGGAGGATGATTGGGATGATGATGATGTCAGTGATGACTTCTCTCTGCAGCTGAGGAGGGAACTTGAGAATATTACTCAAAAAAATTGACGAGTTTTTATGGGTTATGTGGATTTCATATGGGCATTTCCTGTATGTATGTTCTGCTTGCAAGTGAATGTATAATGTTTGAACTTCAGAAGCTGATTAAAGATGTTGCATGCAGAAATCCAGACTGCTCTGACCTTGTAGACATTATTCTTGGTCTGTCATATACCAAGAAATAGAAGGGGAAAGAGAGATTATTTTGGTTTCTTATTCTGTTTTTAGTTATATGAGTCGTTAAATTTCCAATGCAACGGAAAACCTCATAAATCTGTCTTTTTAGGCGTTTCTTTCAACTTTATTTCTACATCTGTCATTCTTACTTGACAATATTATCAGAACTTGTTACAGGAAAAAGAATGTCTCGTCAAAACTTTTCAATTAAACAACAAACTTGTAGTAATGATCCCAAAACAAAATTATATTTATAGTAATGATTTCATCTCTAATAACAGTCTTTGATCAGCAAACAAAACGTAAATTAATAACTATCAAAGAAAATGTGATTATTTCTCGTAATAATAATTTTTGCCGCTGCTTCTCCATGCATTGAAATTTCAAGCTCTTAAATGCTAATTTGTAAGTTATTTTCTCAAAATTCCCAAATCGTTATTCAACCAGAAGAAATTTCCTTTGGGAGTGAAATATGGAGAGTGTATGAACTACAAGAGTAACAAAAGAAACTCTACTTGTGTACCCATGTGATTATTTTACAAAGTTTAATGGTATTTTAAACTAAATATACAATGATATCTTCTTTTAACACTAAGAGAAAACTATACTATATGCATAGTTGTTGGTCATAATTTGATCTAGAAAAGTTAAGAACAAAAGAAAAGAAACAAAGGAAAAAAGAAAATTGATCTGCAACAACAAATGTAAAGTTGTCAAACCAATCTTGGACCCGAGTTTACAGTATATATGTGTAAGGAAATAAAATTTTTACTTACATGGAAAAAAAAAAAGATTCTATTAAGATGAAAGTTAAAATTTTGTTTAATACACGAAAATATATATTTTCATTTAAATAAGTATATAAGAGTTACATATTTGTAAATTATAAAAGTACAAATGAAACTGCGTTTTAAAATTTATTATTCTCTCTAAAATTCGGTCTTTTCATTATAAATTAATTTTTTTCTGAGTTCATGAATCAAATCGAATAAATTTTAAAAAATAAAAACTAAAAATTGAACCTAAATTTCATAAGTTTTCCACAAACGTTAAAGTCACAAATTTTGGATGAAAATTGCAAGATAAGTTTCTGAATATTTATGACTGGTGCAAATTTCAAGATTTTGTTCTAATGATTTTAGACTGCTGAATCTCTCTTTTTCAGGTACCCAAATGTAAATTTAATGTTACTTTATATTCACAATGATTTGGAAGCCATGTTTAACGCGATTATTGAAAAGGGTTTTTTGGTTTTTACAAAAACAACGATCAAACTATATATATATATTGATTACCAATGGCACATCCTTAAAAGGGTCTTTTTCTTCTTGATGTTTACACATTTATATTCTTATCAACCAAAAACCAGAAGAGCGAAGAAATATGAATACGTAATCATAGCCACAACGTTTGATTATTATTAATAGTTTTTGTATATATATATATATATATATATATGGTGATCTTACAAAAGAGGTTGGATGGGACCAGTGCAACCAACCAGACTGGCCAGAGTCTAATAAAAATACATATCTGGAACCCCAAAAAGAAAAAAGAAAAACCAGAATGACAAAACAAAAGCTTTACATGATGTGAGATTTTTAGCACAGCTCCTCATCCTATACCCACCACCATTCTTTCTTTTCTCTCTCAGCTTGGTATTTCAAATTACTTCCTCTCATTGCTAAATAAATACAGATTTAAAATGTCTCCTAATTTTAACTTTAAATCAATAGTACCCAAATATCTCAACTGCTTAAAGCAAATAATTGCTTAAGGCCCTCGGTACCTCCGGAAGCAGAGACAGCCCTGAGCTTGATCCATCGGAATCATGCCTCCACCTTTCGATGTGTCAATGGCCTCCAACATTGAAACTACTTCATCCATTTCCGGCCTCTTGTCAGGGTTTGCATCCCAGCATCGCTTCATTACATTTGCAAGAGAACTTGGGCAACATCTTGGTATTTCCGGTCTCAGATTCTGCATTTTAAAATGAAAAGGGTTTTTTTACCAAGAAAAGATTTAACTCTTCAATGTACACTTCTTTATACAGAAAACAAAGATTGAGATGTGAACAGATGCTATACTTGGCGAACCACAGCTGAAGTCACTTCCGAGAAGCTAAGATCAGGATATGGCATGTCACAGCAGTATATCTCCCATAGGCAGATGCCAAAACTGTACACATCGCATTTCCTATTGTATGGGTTTCCATTCAGAACCTGTAACCAGCAATTTGATGAGTCAATGATTATTTACTGTATAAATGTAATATATATATATGTAATACCCCAAACAAATGGACATTCACAAAACCCCCCTTCTCTTTCTATGCCAATTAGCTAAAATCACAACTTTACCGGTGAAGAAAATGGGTTTCAAGATAGCCATAATTTGTGTCCACATAACAACCATCAATTTCTGTGTATATTTTCGGATACGGTGCAGTAACTAAATTCAATTAATCAATCACAACTTTCAAAATATCCTTTTTCTGCCCCTCTTTCTTGAAAAAAAAAATTGTAGATATTTAAGTGCTGCTAAAAATAGATCTTCAGAATAAAACCAAGGAGACAGAAAAACTTTACCTCGGGAGCCATATAACCTAGTGTCCCAGTCTCCCCAGTCATGTCATTAGGATTTGAGGCCTCAACACGTGCCACCCCAAAATCTGCAATTTTTACAGTGCGCGTCTTATCCAACAGCATGTTCTCTGTCTTTACATCCCTGTGAACAATCTTCTGCGAGTGTAGGTAACTCAACCTACAGTTCAAATTTGCAGTTTTAGCCAGCTTGAAAGTTTTATGAGGCATACACGTGCTTGAAATGCCAGATAACAACACCATGATGGGTGCAAAGAAAAGAGGATACCCTCTAGCGAGATCGAGCGCAAGCTGGACAACCACTTTGAAAGCTAGCTTCCTTCTCCTGTTCTTTATGAGGTAAGTTTTTAGAGCACCTCCAGGAAGATATTCCACAACAACACAACAGATATTACTGGGCATTGCAATTTGACCATTTTCAGTTTGAAGCTGTAGCCCTGATGAGCCCATTGTGGCCCCAATGAACTATAACAAGATGAGCTAGAATCAGTAAAGTGAGCCACTAGAGATGAATACGAAAGCCAACATCAAGTTAGTCTTCAGATTTGTCTACCCTTGAAAAGTAAGTACCAAACTCAACAGATGCATATCCACTCAATGTCACTTAGATTTTTAGAATATTGGACTATTTGTGTAGAGTGCATTTGTAATTTTACACTTAATTCACTAAAAGTTAATAAAAATTTTATCAGAAGATGGTGAAAATTGATTTCCAAGAGAATTTCAAATGGAATTAAATGATGCACTCTAAAGTTCATTTATTCTAAACCTCAACAGTACTGAATTCGTAATAACTTATGGAGTACAAAAATTTATAAGATGCACAAGGGGATACAAAAACATAGATCCTTTTTTTTTTTCCCTCATTTGTCTTTCATTCCATTTCCTTTGTCAAGATGATTTCAGATTTCTGTGAAGTATATATCTTATACATTCTTCAATAACTATCTATTGGAACATCCACGCTAACTATACTAAAATGGCAAAGGCTATGCCATGCCAAACAAGATGACCTATTCTTTCATCTTTCACTGTTCATCATACTCCCTGAGAAGCCGAGTTATAAGTACCAAGACTACAAGCACCAAATGGGACAACATTGCTATGTGAATATCCTATTAAATATTTGTAACTACTGTTTTTGCAAAACAAGATACATTTCTTTCATTTTCCAACAGCTAGAACTCAAACATTGTAAATGTCGTTGTCCTACTTGAAAATAAACCAAGTACAACATTTATATGGCATTGAGAGATTCTGATTACTGATTAAAATATTAAATGCTATACAAATCACATTCAATAACACTCGGCTCGTCCCCAAGCCAGGAATTGTAGATTCTAACACGTGGAGAAAAAAACCTAATGCTGAAAAAGTTTGCACCATGCAAAGGTTGTCAATGTGAGGTAAAGACCTTAAACTTCATTCTCCTAAACAAAGAACCAAATGTAGTTGAAGGTGGGAAAAAAGTGAAAACAAACAAACATGAAGCTTTTTTAAAGGAAATTAGTTGGAAGAATCAGTGAGCAGATAAATTTGACAACCACTAGTGGCCTAAAGATAACTATAAGCATCCAACAAAGTGGAAGTCCTTCTTTCAATACTTAAGAAGTAAAGAGCTGAAAAAGAATTTTCGAAACCTTATCCACAGCTGTAACAGATGTATGCAGAAAATAAACATCAACTTCAGGCCAGATAAGGCTAGGAATGATACAAAACAACTAATCCGTGAAATATAAATCACAGAAATGGGATAAGATTCGAACAAAGATAGAATTCATTCAAGCTAGTGGATTTTCAATTCTTACCTGGCCAAGCCTAGATCAAAATCCCTATATGAAAGAATCAAGTTAAAAATGGAATTAGTTTTATTGTGAATCAAAAATGGAAAAAAATCGGAGTTCCCAAATTGATATATTATAGTAATTAAGGTAGGAATAGGAATAGGAATTGAGTTGAACCAAATATAGTGTTAACATAGGGAGAACTACAAACACTGTAAGATGACCTGAACAATAATAAGTGCTGTCGGGACCATCAGTATTAGGAGTATCAAAGATGAATCCATCGACCTAATGGTTCCATATGAATATTTTGCTTGTGTTTACCTTTTTAATATTAAATCCTACTCTATTGTTGTTTACCCATATGAATATTTTGCTTATGTCGACCTAATGATTCCACTAGTATCTAGGAGAAGAAATATTAGCAGAAAATCTAGGAGAAAAAATAGGATCTAAATTTGATACTAGAATTCTAATAGAGGAAAGTTTTCTAAACCTTTTATAAGTATATTTTCTGTCCTAGGATACCCAGAATGCCAAAGTACGACATTTCCGGCCATCTTCAAGCCTTGAAACCATAAGTCATGGAATCAACAGAAACTATTCCAATGGATAATTCAATGATATCCATTACCACATACAAGTTAAATGGCCAAAACAACCTACCTCCATCGCAGTCTGTCATGACGTACATGTGCAAGAAAGGGAAAGATGACCACCTTACAGGAGCCACTTATCCGCCAGCTAAGAAAATCTAGGACAACTGTGTGATAATGTACCAAAATCAGAAAATAGAAGACTGTATGATAATGTCTTGACTTTTCAATTCAATGACAAAAAAATCAGGAGAGAATTTCCTCCTATTCAAGACAGCTAAGAAAATCTAGGATGCAAATCGTAAAACATACTCCAAGGTAGATAACTTCTCAGAACTCTTCGTCATAGAAAGCATTCTTCACAACTTTCAATAGTACTACTTGACAGTGACCCAGTAATTCAATGCTTTGATAAGGAATTGGCAACAGCTTGATGTGTATGAAGAGCAACTGTAGTACTGCCCAGAAGACAGTCTTAACTATTAGAGAATCATCGAGAAGAAGAGGTTGTACAAATTTTTTCTTGGACTTAACAAGGAAGTAGATAATATCCAAGGAAGAATCCTGAGAATGAAACCAAGTGTCAATCTCTGTGGAGCATTTGCAGAAGTGTGTACAGAAGAGTTGAAAGAAAATCATGCTCGAGAATCCAAACACATATTCAGATTCCCGAAAGTTCAGCACTTTCTGCTCAAAACACTCAGTCACTTCAACGAGAGATGAAACAGAAAAAGAGAAAGCTATGGTGCAGTCACTGTAGAAAGTCTGACCGCTCAAAGAAGATTTGCTAGAAGCTTCATGAAAAGCCACAGGATTGGAAACAAAATTGGAATCAAGGAGGAAAAGAAACAAAAGGAAGTCTAGAAAGAGAGTTGAGAAGAAACTCAGTCGTGGAAGTTGAAGTACCGGGTGAACAAACAGAATTAGAAATTTGTTTTTAGTAAAGACCAAATGGAGTGCTTGAGAAATTTATTAAGTAATCATCAAATAAATAATCCAAGAAGAACGTGATCTGCTTCCTACTCAGTTAAATTTACTAAATATCTCATATAATCTCTAAAATTCAACCAATACATAGATTATTGACTCTGGAGCTTCAGATAATATAACTGGTAATTTGAAATTATCCAAAACATATAGCCCATGGCATACTACATCAGAAGCGCAGAACTATCTCCATCAAAGGTGGTTTGAATAGGCTATTGTTTATCCAAATACAAAAATTTAAATGGTGAGCTCTATGTTCCTCAATTAAGTTACAACTTATTGTCAGTTAGTAAACTAACCCAATAACTAAGACTTGTTGCTAAATTTTATTCAGATGTGTTTAAAACTTCAGAACTATGTTCGGGAAAGATGATTGACAATGCTAAAGTACACTTAGACCCTATATCCTGTCAAGTAATCACATTCAAGATACTTATCCTCTGATTTTCCTATTCTACT